GCACACGGTACGAGAGCACTTTGTAAAGCGCAGAAGCAAAACAAACCACGCATTGTCTGGTGACACAGGCACACGTGACAGAACGCGAGTAAGAAACCAAGGGGAGGAAAGCGCGAGTTCCAGACAGTGCTCCCTGGCGCTCAGGTTGGGTGGTAGCTTCACGGGTGTCCAATTTACAACTCATTTCCTAACTCACTTAGGTGCCACGCATCCTTTTGTGGGTATCAAATATATTGTGTAAAAAAATGTAATTTTAAATATTTAAAAATAATTACTGAAACCTTTCAATGACTAAAAGCAAAAACAAAAAAAGCTAAGATAATCCTTTCCTAATGACAAAGTGGAGAGGAATCGTATCTGTGTTCTTTATAGAACTATGGGCAGAATCCTTTCCCTGTAGTTGACTTCTTCTATTAATTATTGTTTAATAAACAGGTTTAGCAAGGTATACTTAACATAAACTGCACAGATTAAAAATGTACTATTTGATGAGTTTTGACGTGTACACTCGTGAAACCATTACCACGATCAAGATAATGAACATTTCCATCATCACTTTCAAAATTCCCTCGTAGCCTTTTGTAATCACTCCCTCCTGCCCCTCCTAACCTCCCCATCTTCTGTCTGTCGCTGTACATTCATTTGCATTTTCTAGAACTTGCATAAATAGAATCACACAGTATGCACTCTTTTTTTGGTCTGGCTTCTTTCACTTAGCATAATTATTTGAGACTTATCCATGTTGTTACATGTATTAATAGTTCATTCCAGTATTCCATTGTATGGATGTACCACGTTTGTTGATGGGCATTTGGATTGTTTCCAGTTTTGAACTACTAGAAATGAGGCTGCTATGAACACGCATGTACAAGTCTTTTGTGAATATATATATATATATATATACATATATATATGCTTTCATTTCTCTTGGGAAAATACCTTGGAGAGGAATAGCAGGGTCATATGGTAGGTATTAACTTTTAAGAAACTTCCAAACTGTTTTCCAAAGTGGTTGTCCCATTTACATTCCTACCCACCAGTGTAGGACAGTTCCAGTTACTCCACGTCTTCACTAACATTTCATATGGTGTCTTTTTTAATTTTAGCCATTCAAATGGGTGTGCAATGGTACTGTACAGTGGTTTTTGAAAAAATAGAATTTATTTTTGTTGTTGAGAATATACACATCAGAACATATACCAACTCAACAGTTTCTACCGTTAATTCCGTGACACTGATTATATTCTTCGAGTTGTGCAACCATTCTCACCTCTTTTTCTGAGTTGTTCCTCCTCCGTTAACATAAACTCACTGGCCCCTAAGTTTCCTATCTATTTCGAGCTGTTTGCATAGTAGTTTCAATTTGAACTTCCCTAATGACTAAGGCCGTTGAGGATCTTTTCGTGTGCTTATTTACCATCCTTTGGTGAGGTGTCTCTTCAAATCTTTTGCCCCTTTAAAAAAATAGGGCTGTTCATTCTTACTGTTGAGTTTTGAGAGTCTTTTATATATTCTAGTTAGAAGTCTTTTATCAGCTATGTGATTTGCACACATTACTCCATTTTTTCTAATTTGTACCTAAGTCACAAATTCTACTATCCATCTGTCCCTAGTTCAGATTACCTTTAATAGGAAGCTGTGAATAAACATGGTTGTCCAGAAAAAAAAAGTTACAGGAAGTATGTGAGTCCTGATGGTGCAATGGTTAAGAGCTTGGCTGCTAACTAAAAGGTCAGCACTTCAAATCCACCAGTTGCTCCTTGGAAACCCTATGGGGCAGTTCTACTCTGTCCTATAGGGTTGCCATGAGTCAGAATCGACTTGGGGACAATAGGTTTGATCTGTTTTTGGATGTGGGTGTTCACTCCATGGTAGATATTATTATTCCTAATTGGGATATGGGATCACATGCAGGGCTCTCCAAAGGTTGGAGAGGAGATTCATTCCCTCCAGGCTTAGCCAGCTGTATCTTGTCCAGGGCCTGGGGGTTCTGAGCTATCTAGAGTTAAAACACAGAAAATGCCAGGGATTAGTAGGAAAAGGCTGAAACTGCTCACCCTTGGATAAAGCCAGGGAGCATAGGTGTCTGAAATCTGTGTGCAGTTCTGGCCCCTGAAGCTCAGGAGATACCACATGAAAATCTACTGTGTTCTCTGAGCTCATGTAATCTGCATAGTACCCCATAGGGTAATGCCATCGTCTATATTCTGCAGGAAAAACTGAGGTATGGAGAGATGAAATGACTCCCAGTTGCCAGCTGGTGGATGGCTGAAGCTGACTCCAACTTGCCTCAAAACTGGGAAGCGCTTGCTCAACACTCATCAATCAGAAAGTGGCATGGTTTGGATTTGAATCCTTTTCTGTCCAACTCAGGAGTCTCAGTCAAATAGAAACTATATGACTGTGTGACCTTGGGCTAGTTCTTAACCTCTCTGTGCCTCAGTTTTCTCATCTATAGAGGTTAATACTCATCTCACGTAACAGAATGCTTTCCAAAAAAGAAATTCACAGTAGTAGGTGCTAACACATTTTGTTATTTTGATGGTTATATATAGAGATTCTTCTATCACTTTAACTGGCTTTTTCCTAGGGAGGCTGTGTACCCTTCCGTGTTTCTTAGCTATTTGGATTAGCTCTTGAAACTCGTCTATTCATACTCTTTGCTTATTTTCTATTGTTTTTGTTTTTGCTAATTAAAGAATTCTTTGCATATTATAGATATTAGCCCTTTATCTGTCATATATGTGCCAAACATCTTTACTAACCTATCATTTCTGTTATTTTATCATGCAAATTTCTTGTGGTAAGCAAGTATATCTTTTATTAGTAGTTTGAGTTTCCTGTCTTCCTAAAATCTTTCAACCCCTAAATTACCGTTACAGTCTCCTAAATTGTAATCTGAATGTTTGTTCATATTTAAGACTCTAGACCATCTAAGGAGCCCTGGTGGCACAGTGGTTAAGAGCTTGGCTGCAAACCAAAAGGTCAGCAGTTCAAGTCCACCTGCTGCTCCTTGGAAACCCTATGGGGCAGTTCCACTCTGTCCTATAGGACCACTATGAGTCAGAATCGACTCAATAGCAATGGGTATTTTATGGGTTATACCATCTAAGGAGAGCTGGTGGCACAGTGGTTAAGTGCTCAGGCTGCTAACCAAAAGGGCAGCAGTTCGAATCCACCAGCCCCTCCTTGGATACCCCATGGGGCAGTTCTATTGTTCTACAGAGTCACTATGAGTTAGAAGTGACTCAACAGCAATGGGCTTTTATACCATCTGCGGCATGATGGATCGCTTTTGTGCGGCCTTTCTAGCCATGGTCTTGTAACTGCCCAGTGACTGGTCAGTTTGCCATCTGGCTAGGCTTGAAATGAGCCACCCTAGAGGAAGGAAAGCGAGGACTCCACCACCAAGGAAGAACAGCCAGGAGCCAATATGTCATTTGGACCCGGAATCCCTGCACTGAGAAGCTCCTGGAACCAGGAGACGAGAGAGAGAGATGCAACAATGAAGGCAGCGAGACTCTACAGCAGAGACCTGGCAGCAAGAGATTGCCGCCCTCAGAGAGAGAAAGCTGAGTGCCTTTAGGCAGAAGCCTAGGGCCAGGGAGAGGTGTGCCTGCGAGCACTGCTGGGAAGAGGCTATCCTGATGGAAGAACTGTATCCTTGAGTGTTCCTGAACCTGTATCGTAACCTGTTACTTCCCTAATAAACCCTATAATCATGGGTATTGTCTGTGAGTTCTGTGTGGCCATTGCAATGAATTACTGAACCCAGCAGAGAAGTAGACGATGCCATAGGAGGGACAGTTGGTGTCAGAATTGGTAAAAGTGGCAGAGAGAGGAGGCATGTCTGACTCTGCCCTCATAAAAATCAGTCTTGGGCTGTTCATCTTGATTCTCCTTCTCCCTTCTGAAGTCACAGGTCAGGCAGGGTCCCCACACCATTTTTTACACCATCTAATAACTAAATCGGAACCCTCGTGGTGCAGTGGTTAAGAGCTCAGCTGCTAACCAAAAGGTCAGCAGTTTGAA